AAATATTTCCATTTCTAAATTGACAGTTAGCTGAGAATGTTTGACACATTGATTATTTGATGTTAACTTATGTTCTTCTTTATAATGATTGCATTGTGTTGAATCTTCTTTATAAACTAACTTGTCACATTTACCTTATCTAATATCATCAAATGTTACTTCTTTTCTTCCTTTGATTGTTATTTGACTTTGATATATTTTACTTCCTGTGAATGATGGTTTACTTATACTAGATAAATGTTTTGATGTAGTTATTATTACAGATGAGAGTGTGTTAGTAGTTTCTTCTTTAATTGATGTTGTTCCTGAATCTGATGTTCCATTTGATAGTTTTCATTGAATTCTTTGATATTGTTGTTTCTTTCAGATGATATTGAAAGTTATTTGATTTGTTGATTCATATCTTATCCACTGTTTTGGATAAGTAAAGATAGTATGATCAATTGTTACATAGTTAATAATAATGATATAAATGTTTATTGATAATGAATAAACATAATCAGAGGATAAAGACATAGTAACAGTTACAACAAATGAATTAAAATCATCTTTATCAATTGGTGTAAATGTTTTAGAACATGTTGATGTTATATCATTTATTTCAATATCATTATAACTATAATAACGAACCATTCCTTTACATGTTTGAATGAAATAGTTAAATGATGATAAAGGATTAATAGTTCTTTCATATGATGATATCAAATAATGTATACGATTATATAATAATTAGAAGATACTTTCATTTTAGTAGAATAATCAGAATAATAAGTAGGAAGAATAGGTAAATGATAATTGTAATCATTATTATCATTTCCTTTTATCTTATATTCTTTATACTTTCTTCTTTATATTCATTTTCTATTTTGATGTATTTTATTATTTGAATATCCATATTTATCATCTTTTATATTATTATCATTTATATCTACTTTCGATTTATATTCATTCTGTTTTTATTTATATTAATTTTATCTTTTATCTTTTTATTTCTATATCATTTATTCTTTTATTCATTTGTTTGTTTTTCTATCTATATCATATATTCATATCATTTATTATTTATATTTTATCAGACATTAAATATTATATAATAATCATATAACATATATGATTGAATAATTTTACATCATTAAATTATACACTTTTATTTCATATTTCTCATTTTTCAATAAAAATACACATTTTATTTTCTTCTTTATTTTCTTCTTTTA